TTGTTCTGGATGCTGGCTGTATCTCCAATCATGTGATGCTGTATGTAAGAGTTATCTCCCTTTTCTCCTTCCCCAGGGGCCAAAGAATTGATGGAATTGAAGGTCTCTGGCAGCAAGGTCCTTGCTGTTCCCTACACAGTTTCTTTCCTTGATCTTTTCACTCCTTCCCCTTAGATCTCAGGGGCTAACCAGTTCCTTCTCTTAGTCCACTCTGGGAGTCCTTCTGAAGTCTCTGCTCTAGTTTATACCCACATCCTGGGAGGGGAGTTTCTTGCCTTAAGTGTGGTTGTCAGTGTGTTTTCTTGACAGGGTTTGTTTCACCCATAGGATCTTGTTTGAGTTTTGAAGAGGATGGGTGTGTTTTCTACTTGCTTGTAAAGTTTGTTCCAGACCTCATGAGGGACATAGCACCTCTGTGATACTTCAACTTCACCTTTCAGATGAGAAAAACAGGCTCACAGAGTTTAAGGCCACTGCCAATGAGTGCTGCACTCTGAGGAGAATTAAAAAGTATTTTTCCCTGTATTTTTTGTGCATTGCTTCTTCAAAGCCTTTTAGCAGGAGTTGGAAAATAGTGGAGGCCAAGCCCCAGGCAGCCCACACCATGGATCAGGAGGTTTCAGGCATGAGCTCAGGAGTCCCTTCATTAGTCAGATGAACCCAGTCTCTTCCAAACTCAGATGAGGCTCAGCTTTGTATAGATTCGAGATTTTTTTGTTTAAAATATGCTTTCAGACAGCTTGGTATCAGCACAAAAATAGACAGGTAGACCAATGGAATAGAATTGAACACCCTGATATTAACCCACACACCTACGAGCACCTGATTTTCGACAAAGAAGCTAAAATTGTACAATGGAAAAAAGAAAGCATCTTCAACAAATGGTGCTGGCATAACTGGATGATGGCTTGTAGAAGACTGCAGATAAATCCATATCTATCATCATGCACAAAACTTAAGTCCAAATGGAACAAAGACCTCAACATAAATCCAGCCACATTAAACCTCTTAGAAGAGAAAGAGGGAGGTACCCTTGAATGAATTGGCACAGGAGACAGCTTCCTGAACATAACACCAGTAGTACAGACATTGAGATCGACAATTAATAAATGGGACCTCCTGAAACTGAGAAGCTTCTGTAAGGCAAAGGGCACAGTCAATAAGACAAAAAGGCAGCCCACAGAATGGAAAAAGATATTCACCAACCCCACATCTGACAGAGGGTTGATCTCCAAAATTTACAAAGAACTCAAGAAACAAGTCTCCAAAACACCAAATAATCCAATTAAAAAGTGGGGTACAGAACTAAATAGAGAATTCTCAATAGAGGAGTCTAAAATGGCCGAGACACTTAAGAAAGTGCTCAACATCTTAACCATTAGGGAAATACAAATCAAAACAACTCTGAGATATCATCTTACTCCTGTCAGAATGGCTAAAATCAAAAACACCAATGAGAGTTTATGCTGGAGAGGATGTGGAGAAAAGGGAACACTCCTCCATTGCTGGTGGAGTGCAAACTTGTACAGCCACTTTGGAAATCAGTATGGAGATTCCTCAGGAAAATGAGACTCAGTCTACTACAAGATCCAGCAATTTCACTCTTAGGCATTTATCCAAAAGATGTGCATTCATACAACAAGGATGTCTGTTCCACTATGTTCATAGCAGCATTATTTGTAATAGCCAGAACCTGGAAGCAATCTAGATGCCCCTCTACTGAAGAGTGGATAGAGAAAATATGGTACATTTACACAATGGAGTACTACTCAGCGAATAAAAAACAGTGGAATCTTGAAATTTACAGGCAAATGGATGGCACTAGAAGAAACCATCCTGAGTCACAAAAAGACAAACATGGTATATACTTACTCATATATGGATTTTAGACATGGATCAGGGGAGTGCTGGCCTACAATTACATTACCAGTGAGTTTGGGAAACAGGGAGGTTCCCAAGAGAGATATGCATGATACCCCAGAGAAGGGAAATGAGGCAACATCTCCTGAGCAGATTGGGAGAATGGGGACAGGGGAGAGGGATCTAGGGGGAAAAAGAGAGGGGTAGAAGAAGAGGGGAGATGAAGACATGGGGGAGCAGGAAGGTTGAGCCAGGGGAAGAATAGAGGAGAGCAGGATGAGAGATACCGTAATAGAGGGAGTCATTATAGGTTTGAAGAGAAAGCTGACACTAGTGGGATTTCCAGAGATCTACAAGGATGACCCCAACTGGCAAACTACGCAACAGTGGAGAGACTACCTTAATAGCCCCTCCCTGATAATGAGTTTTAGGACTATCTTATATGCCATCCTAGAACCTTCATCCAGTGACTGATGGAAACAGAGGCAGATACCCACAGTTAAACACTGAATTGAACTCCTGGAACCCAGTGGCAGAGAGGGAAGAGTGATGAGCAAAGGGGTCAAGACCCGGCTGGTGAAACCCACAAAGACAGTTGACCTGACAAGGGGGAGCTCTTGTACCCCAGAGTGATGGCTGAGAGGCCAGCATGGGACTGATCCAGATCCCCTGACTGTAGGGTCGGTGAGAAGGCCCCCGCAATCTCTGGGGCCTTGGGTAGTAGATCAGTGTTTGCCATGGCATAAGAATGAACTTTGGGAGCCCATTCCACATGGAGTGATGCTCTCTCAGCCTGGACACATGGGGGAGGGCCTAGATGGATGAAATCCCCTATGGAGGGCCTCACCCTCCCTGGGGAATGGTGTGGGGAGCTGGTGGAGGGACAAGGGAGGAGGGGTAGGAGAGGGAGCTGGGATTGACATGTGAAGCAAGCATGTTTCTAATTTAAATAAAAATATATTGGAAAAAATATGCTTTCAGGAGCTGGAGATATAGTTCAGTGGTTAAGAGCACTGACTGTTTTTCCTGAGTTCAATCCCCAGGAACCCACATGGTGGCTCACAACAGTCTACAGTGGAATCCAATGCCCTCTTCTGGTGTGTAGATGTACATGCAAACAAAACAGCCACATACGTAAAGTACACAAGTAAATAAATCTTTAAAAAAATAAACTAAAATATGCTTTTGGAGTTGGAGCAGAGTGGGGACTGACATGATCAGACAGACCAGACTCTATATATGTATAAAATTTTCAAAGAATGAATTAAAAATGCCCACACTTCTAGTGTCAGATGTACTGTGGCTGTTTGAATGAGATGTCCCCATAAGTCTCAGGCATTTGCATACTTTGTCCCCAGTTCTTGGTGTTATTTGGGGAAGCCCAGGGCCTAGATGCTCCTCAACTGAGGAATGGATAAAGAAAATGTGGTACATTTACACAATGGAGTAGTACTCAGCTGTTAAAAAAATGGACATCAGGAAATTCACAGGCAAGTGGATGGATCTAGAAAGCAAATCATCCCGAGTGAGGTAACTCAGACTGAGAAAGGCAAACATGGCACCCACTCTTAAGTGGATATTAACTGTTAAGTAAAGGATAACCATGCTACAATCCAAAGACTACGGCTAAGTAATAAGGAGGGCCCAAGCAGGGACAACACATGGCTCTCCCTGGGAAGGGGAAATAGAGGAGATCTCTTGGGTGGACTGGAGACAGTGATTTAGAACGATATATGTCAAGTGCAACTCATTCTGTAGGCAGCAGTTAGTCATGTGTGTGTTACACGGACTCTACAGAAGGAATGTGTGTTAACATGGCCTCTCTCAAGGCCACTAACATTTGTAAAGCTGTCCTTGGAATACCTGTTTGTCCACCCCAAATCTTCATGGTGGCAGAGAAGGGACATGTGACTAGAAAAATGTTCTTCATATTATCCAGATTTATTTTCCAACTTATCACTCTTGTTTTTATGTGTGACCTTTACTCTCCTGGGGTTAATCCTTCGTGCCACATGAGAATAGAAAAAGTTCAGCCAATATAGTTTTTATATTCTAGTCCCTGCCAACTGGCATCCCATGTTCCACAAAGTTGGTAGTTGCGTAAGATACTTGCAAATAGGTTTATGTGGGTGAGGTCTTTAGGATGGGTAGGGCTTAAATAACCCTATTATAGGAATGGGGAAGTGTGTGTGTGTGAGTTGGAAAAGAATAATGCTTTTAAACAAACAGAACCAACTAAAGTCCTTCTGGCCTAGGAGTTTCTGGCAAGCCTTATATTATGTACTGGGTGGGGGTTTTCCTTTATATATGTGTGCACAATTTCAATTAGGTCTCCAGTTTGATCTAACTTTGAATTCCTTCAATGAACAGGGGAAGAAAGACAATGCCATTTCAATCCCACTCTGCCAGCCATGGCCCCATGCTTCCTATTTTCAGTTCCTTCATGTTCTACAGGACTTCGGCCCTCAGTTCCCTGAGTTGGACCCTGGTACTGACTAAGGACTCTGGTACTTTTTGCTGCCTTGGGTGTACACTCTCATACTCACCTGCTATGGAATCAGCCATGGTCCCCCCCAAAGCCTTTATCATAACAACTATGAGTAGTATTTTAAAAGGGGGGATGTGAGCCAGGTGGTGGCACATGTCTTTAATTCCAGCACTCAGGAGGCAGCAAAGGCAGGCAGATTTCTGTGAGTTCAAGGCCAGTCTGGTCTACAGAGTAAGTTCTGGGATAGCCAGGGCTACATAAAGAAACCTTGTATTGAAAACCAATAAAATAAATAAAAAATGATGCATGAGAGCCAAAGTTATATTTTAATTGCTGTGCCTAAGAGATTCATGGGGAAAAAAGGCCCCTAACCTGTAAGCCTCTTGCCCAAGGTGCTGGAGGCTGTTGTTTATAGTAGTTAACAAGCCACGTGTTTTTGCTCCCTTACACAAGTTTGTTTGATTCAACTGCACTAAATGTGCTTGATCACATGTAGCCTGGAGGTGCATGGGCAGGAATATGTCAGGATGTACGCTTGTCCCTGATTGGACCTGATGGGAAATACATGACCTTGTGAGTGTGCCTTTATAAGCCTCAGCAACATTTGACTTGTGGCAATTTTCTGAGAACCCAGGAATGAATCCAGCCAGAGTTCATCATACTGACCAGTTTTTTAATTAAAGCTTGCTTAAATTTTGGTTCAAAATTGCCCTGTGGGATTGATAGATGTTGGAAGTCCATTCATGGACAGGCAGGAGAAACAGACTGTAGAAGATACACACCATAGATTATTTTCAGCTTTGAAAGAGAGTGACATTCTGATGAATGCTACAACATGGATGAACTTGGAAGACTGGCTATTACTTGACATAAGGCAGTCACAAAAAGAAGAGTACTATGTAAATCCACTTGTATGGTTCTCGGAATAGTGAAGTTCACGGTGACACAAAGTAGAGGGATGGTTAGTTACCAGGGCTGGGGAGGCAAGACTAGTGACTTGGCAATCAACTGGTACAGAGATTCCGAGTAAGATGATGAGAAGATTCTGGGATGAGTAGAAGTGATAGCTACACAAACATGTGGATATACTGAACTGTACATGTAAAAACGGTTAAAACAGAGAATCTTATATGGATTTGAGTACACATGCAAAACCAACCTAAACCAATGAATGTTATTCCAGAGACGGAAAATGGCCTCAGAGGATTTTAATTAAAATTTTTTTTGTTTGGAGGGATAATTGTTAAGATTCTGGGGGAATATCGTGGAACTAAAAGAGGAGCTGAATCCCCAGCCTGGAGCAAGGTCAGGAGGCAGGACAGTCTGGGAACTTCAGGGCAAGAGCTTATACATAGGTCAGTGGTTCTCAACCAGGGGATCCAACAACCCGTTCATATGGGTCACATATCAGGAGAGAGAGGAAGAGAGAGAGAGAGAGAGAGAGAGAGAGAGAGAGAGAGAGAGAGAGAGAGAGAGAGAGAGAGAGAGAGAGAGGAGTTACTTTCTACTTCCCCTAACCCTGACATTTTCTTTCAAAACTGAGACAATTCAAAGCACTGCTCTTTATTTTGGCCACTGGTCTGCTCCTCTGCCCTGACTGTGATGTTGCATGGTTGTGTTCTCATGGGCTTCCGCCTTCCTCCCCCAAACCTAGGCTTTCACAGAAGCATAGTCAACAAGAACTGAGAAGCTGGGGCTGACCACTCTTCTGACAACTGTAGACTAGGCTAAATTCTTGTGAGGCATCAAAGGTATTTTGGGATCCTTGATGTATTCTTTGACCCATTCCTCCTTAGGGTTGGCACAGACTTCTACATTCTTCTTGGTGACAAAGCTGTGGAGACAGAGTTAGACTGTCATGGGCTGTGGAACAGGATGGGGTACATGGTTGACATGTTCTGGAAACTCATGTAGCTCACATTTTCTAGAGCCTTCTTTTGGCTTCTTTGTATGGGTCCTCAAAAGCCTCAGTGGCCTCTATTCTTGACTATCTCTTCTTCAGGTCCTTACCCACTTATACTGGACACTCAGGCTTAGGTTTTTATAATGGTAGCAGTTGGGAGGCACAATTTTAAGTGGCAGAGACCAGGATTGGACCCAGGACCCTGAGAGTCAAAGCCCAAACCCTTAGCTACAATCCAAACCAGTCTAGGTTGGAGACTCTTTCCTATGCATCCCAATTTCTGCTCCATTCCCCCTCCCACCTCCATGGAAATATATGTGGGGGCATGCTTACATGATTGCTGGCAGGTGGCAGTTGAGGGCCTCTTTGTATCCCGCCACCCGTTTCTTCGGCAGTTCTTTCTCATAGTACTTATGGCAACAGTTGGGTAGAGGTTTTATCGACTCAGGCATTCCTGAAGGAGTCACATTATGAGTTGAGTCAGGGAGCAAAAACCATGGTGCTCGCCTCCCTCTTACATCAATCATATCCCACTCCTATGATGATGAAAATTTCCAGTAGCAGGGACTGATGGCAGTGTGATGAGTAATGGTGGAACCGAAAAGGACAAGCTATGGTGGAATCAGGATTCCATCCTATGAGTGGTGGAGAGCCTGAGGGCTGGCAGAGTGTGACAAGGACACAGAGGAGGATGAGTTAGAGCAGGGAAAAAGCACTTGATCCAGGTTTCAGATCAACTTCTATCAGAGTCTTGAATAAAGGATTTTTTTTGGTCTTGTTCTTTGTTTTTTTGACACAGGGATTTTCTGTGTAACAGTCCTGACTGTCCTGGAACTCCCTCTGTAGATCAGGTTGGCCTTGAACTCAGAGGTCTGCCTGCCTCTGCCTCCCAAGTGCTGGGATTAAAAACATGTATCACCACCCGGCATGGAATAAAGGACTTTAATCATGGGTAATTTCTTAATCTCTCTAGATTCTAGCTTTTTATCCCTTAAATGGTATAAACACACACACACACACACACACACACACACACACACACACACACACACACACATTTTTCTCCAGAGTGCTAGGCATAAAAAGTTATTTTTTTAGTATATGTGCTGCCAAAGAGAACACAGAGATACTTTTATCCTAGAATCATGATGAAATATTTGAGAAGATGCCTAATTCAAGAGCCTGAAATACAGAAAAACTCACTCCATGATTAGTATAATTGAGAAAAAATGGTGGTAACTGTTTCTTGCCTTAAAAGCCATTGCTTCCCTTCTCGATATGGCTGGGTGGGTACTGGCCTTTGCTGGTGGTCTGTTCTTAACCCTCCCCAACTACTCACTGGTTGAGACTATCTAGGAAGTCAAGCTGGAGACCATCCTTTGTACCTAGACATTCAGAACACAAATCTTTTTGTAGTCTTATCTCATGCTTGTGGCTGATGATTAAGTCGCGAGCTCCATCTGACTGACTCAGGCTTTTAACGGCTCTGAGATGACTGACTTTCTCAATGGCCACTGTTGCATATCCCAGCCATCACACACACACACAATTCCGTCATAAACACCTTCGTACAGTTCCTGCCAGTGATCCTCATGGCTTTGATTATCAAAGCCGGGGTCATCCTGAGAGTATGTGGACACACTGCACACTGCACTTGACCTTTGTCCCTCTGTGTGTCTGCAGAGGTGGAGCCAGGCTGAGTCTAAGCTTAGGGAAACCTTAAAGGCAAAAAGTAAAGACCATGGCAGCCTAATGCAGTATATGCATAGAGGAGCTTAGTATTTCTGTACCTCCTTTGTTATCAGGGGTGGATCAGTGATGGCAGAGGCAAGGGTTTGGAGTGGCCAAACGCTATCCTCCATAGGTCCCAGTCTCCTCTTTCCACAGCTCCACCACTATCAACTTCTTTCATTTTCTGCAGACTTCATTTAGTCTTGGGAGGGGGGAAGAAGGTGGAGTGGAGAAAGGAATCATAGATCCTCAAACAGCATGCTGGATCACTCCTTAGGGTCTCAGTTTGGTTGTCTAATAGCTATAGCAATCTATGCCAGCACCGAGAGGAAGGGGTACCTAAGTTCAGACATCTCATTCCTTTGCTTAGACCCAGGGATAGATTTGCCTTGCCCCACCCCCTTTTATTATATGCATTTACAATGATTTCTCTAATGCTTCCTTATTTCCCTCCTAAATGATCCCTTCTGATCACAGGATTCTCTAAGGAGACGCGACTCGGCTTCCTAGACTCACCCACCTTTATAATCTCTTGTCTCCGCCAAGCCCAGCTCTACTTACAAGGAGAACGGGAGGACCGCAGCTGGGCTAGAAGGGACCCCAGTGCTAATGTGACCAGAGGCCTGACAGAACCTTTGGCATCACCTCGCAGCCATCTGCCTGTTCTCCCTTTTCGTCTCTGGCTTTATGAGACACGTGACTCACTCTGGCGAATGTAGAGAGCGAAGGCTGTGCTGAGGATGGCGAGGAAGAGGAGGGAGACCAAGGAGACCTTCATCTTCTCGGTGGGGTAGTGCAGCATTGGGATGCCTACCCAGCAGGCCGTCCTCGCTCTACCTGCTCCGATCTCTGGACTCTGACCATTCAGAACTGGTGGAGGAGGAGACACAGCAGACCTCTCTCTGTTGGCTGAGAGAATGTGCTGGAATCTAGAGCTGGTGCACAGTTCAGAGCCGTAGGCCTGAAATCTGTGTCAGAAGGTGCATGGAGGTCTGTGTGACAAGGATTTCTGTCAGCTGTCTTGCATGGACTTCTTTGTTTAGTAGTGTGGCAGTATGACCACCCACTGAGGCTAGGGACACTTAGAGGGGGTAAGGAAGTTGTCAGGGCTGCAGTACTAGGAGGTAGATAGGCTGTACCTAGAACAGAGCCATTGGCTTTCACTGTTCCTTACCACTGTCTCTGTATGGTGGGGGGAGGCCTGGGGAGGAGCTCAGTTTCCCCTCGGTGATTGACCTTTGGGGAAGGGTAGAAAGCAGAGTTAGAGACAGTGAAGATTAAGACAAGGACAGCGTCTAGTAGCCAGTGAGGAGAATGTCCCCCATCTCCAGTCCAGAAATGCTGAAATGAGCTTGGGCTCTCCCATGGCACAGATCCCTGGAGCCCCAGTTGTGTGTGTGTTTAAATGCACATGTGTGTGCAGGAGCCTGCAGAGGCCAGACGAGGGCATTGGATCCTCAGAAACTATATTCAGGGCATTGGGATCTTCTCAATGTGGATGCTAGGGTCACAAACTCAAGTCCTCTAGAAGAGGAGGAAACACTGTTAACTGTTCAGACATCTTTCTGGCTTCTGGAGCCATTTTAGCTGCAACTAACTAGTGTCCCTGGCACACTGCAAGTACATGCTCACCAGGTGTATAGCCATGGCTGATTGTGCCCACAGATGACACAATCTAACATGATGTATCTGACACCCCACTTATGAGGCCCAGGGTTTGCCTTTTGCTCCTATGGCCTGGGCTCCTGACTGATGATTTCCGTAGCATCTTTGTTCTTTTTGTTGTTCCATGGTCCAGTTCCAAAGCAGCATCCAGAGAAGAATTGGAAGATGCAGGCAATTTTGCTGTGAGTGAACTGTGAAGTTTACAGACACAGGTGAGTGTTTCAGGAGATGAGCAATGGGAAGCAGGGGTAGAATAGGATGAAGTGACTATTTTCAGCTGTTTTCTGGCTCTGAAATTTCATAGGTCAGATAGAGAATGCAAGGGAGTAACAATGAAGTCACTTAACCTGACTGTAGAGGTAGTGGGAAGAATGTTGCAAGCCCAAGGTCCTGGACAGCCAAGAACACACTGTAGTTATGCAATCAAATTCAGGTGTGGGTACATTACGAGGCTAAACTGGATAGAAGCATAGGTGTCCATCACCTCAGTGGCCCCAGACAGTGGTCAGGTGCTTGGGTCATCCAGCACCATTTTTGGCAGCATCCCCACTCTCCAAGCACTGGAGGAAGGGTCCTTTGGTCCACAAGACCCACCCAGCTCCCTGAATTCTGCACTTCAGTTCTCTGAACTGACAAATGACTTCAGAGAATCAAATCAGACTCTCCCATCAACTTTAGGCAAGCTTTATCCAGGTCAACTTCTCTGTCCTCCCTTCCTCCCATTTCTGGACCACACATGGAGAGCCAGCTGAGCTTATCTGCTAAGGCAGCTAACTCTAAGGAAGACATAGAGTAGGGCTACACATTGTCATCTCTCCTCTAGCACATACTCACTGCTCAGGGCATGGGTGATGCTGGAGGAGCGGGGAGCATCAAGGGGCTCTAGAGTCTGCTCCCTGGTTCTCCTGGGAATGGCATCACCCTCGTAAGGCAAGCCACCTCATGTTTCATGGTAGACAAGCATGGAGCGAGGGAGTGGTGAGGCAGGTTGGCCTCACCCCATTGTCCCCAGGGGGAGTAAGTACTGGTCTTGGGGACACTGAGGGTGAAAGTTTAAGAGGATTCAGACTGCCTTCTAGACTCCTTCCCCCATCTCCCCAGCCACTCCATTACTGGTCATTTCTCCATAACAACTAGCTTGGAAGGAAGATGAAGGGTTACATTCAGGTAAGGAAGACTCAACTTTGGCCTCCAGATGGACAGTGAAGATGAGGAGGAAGGACACAGTGGCTGCCAAGATAGCAATAGCAGTATTGCTGGCTTGCTAAGGATTCTGAGGCTCTCAGGGTGAGGGGATGTTAAAAATGACCACAGAGGCTAAATATTTTTGCAAATAAGAGAAGATCTTAAAAGGAGGCAAAAAAGCAGTGATACCCCAGCAAATTTACATCTTGCCCACTTGCTAAGGATGACTTGAAGAAAGCTCAGAAAGCCAAGATTTAAAGAAAGAACTCACTCTCTGTTTCCAGTGGAAATAACTCCTCTGCAGGAATCCCGTCTTTAGGTGTTTACTACATCCATAGGGCAGAGTACGGTGGCTCAGACAGCCAGAAATCTCAAGGATGCTGTGTGTGGATACCTGTCCCACGCCTGGGAGCAAGACCACGTGGAGCTTGATGGCTTACAATCTGTTCGTCTGGAGACCTAGGGAGATAAGGTCTGGAGTCCCCCAAGTCAGATCCCATCAATCAGGCTCAGGAAATGTTCATTTAAATCCTGAAATAGGCCTTCTAGTTCCCAGCCGCACCATGGAGTGAAGAAATGCATGATGATCAGGAAAGGATTCCTTCTATAATGGCTGTGGTGTGTTCTAGCGTCTCCAAATGGTTTATGAATATCAGCTCATTTACTCTTTACAGTGGCAGCTGGGGAGACCGAGGCTCAGAAGCAAAGCCTTTGCTTTCATAGTTGGTAAGTGAAACTGGGGTTCAAAGTCAGGCAGTTTGAAGTCCATGAGTTTTAGAGATATGGGCGCGCCAGCTAAGTTCTCAAAAAAAAATCTGGCTGCTTGGGTTTTCTGCAGCCAAGTCCTTAGTCAGAGCTCTTCCTGAGCTTAGGTAGAAGGTGCCTTTAAGGTCTTTTCTTGCTTTCTGACTTTATCATAGAGAGCCTTTGTTTAGAACCTTAGAGGATGCCTAACAGGGATGGATAGCTGATTTCAATGAAAGGTGATGGCCTAAAGCTCTGTGTTTGAAATACCTAGGGCGATGTCCTAATTGGACTAGAAACCCTGTAATTGATGTATGGTTTCTGTTCTGGTGTAGCGTATGCGCTGTGTATTAAAATGGCCATTTATTGAATGAAGCAGGGGAGAGGAAGGCTCAGACAGGAACAGTGACTTGTTTGTTTATATCCACGCAAAGATTTAGATGCAGGACAGGCTCTGCCTCTACCTCTGCAGACTCTGAGTCTAGTGACCTTTGTCTTGCTGTTCTTGGGGCCATTGTAGTTAGGAGGTTGTTTAGCTTCCTCTCCTCACCTGGAATAATCAGTGAAGGAAAATCTATTCTTTATCATTCACACAGAGCCTAGCATAAAGCAGGCTATCCCTCCATCTCCCCCCATCCCCTTTGTGTGTGTGTGTGTGTGTGTGTGTGTGTGTGTGTGTGTGTGTGTGAATGCTGGGGATCAAACCAAGAGCTTCATGTATTACAGGCAAGAATTTGCATTGAACTACAACTTCTGCCCTAAATACTTATTTTTAAAAGAGGAAGGAATAGGATTGAAGGCTTCTAGGTAAGATGATAGAACTAGGCTTGTGTGAACAAGTGGAGGATTATAGTTAGTGAAACAGAGAGAGGGATCGTGACTACTGTGCCACCAGTCAAGCTACTTCTGTCATGCTACACTACCAAATATTTCTTCATAACATCAATGAGCTTTTCTTCATTACTTCAGTAGGAACCTACTGCTGTAGCCACAGTGGTCATAATCACTTGAGATATATCTGGCTAAATGCCAGCATAGACACCCTCTAACTTTGTACTTCTCTACCTAATGACCTACAAAAGATACCATTGTATGCATCATAAGGACATTTTCATCTCAAAGGGATTCTTGGTGTCCACTGTTGCTAGGGACTGCCCCCTCGCAGCCTCTACTGACACTTCAGCCACTGCTTCTGCAAAAGGCGCTGGAAGTGCATCCACTGCTATCCCTGCCTTAGTTGCAGAAGCCTTTTCCAGACCAAAGCAGGATCGTGTCAGTGACCTGCCTGTGAATCACCACCAGTCACCTCCTGAAGGCACAGCTCTGGGAATCTTGGCATAAAGCCTCCACTGCTAAACACCAGATGTAGTCTGTGGGGGTGCAGACTCAAGCAGGGTAAGCCCTGAGAACAGGGCTGTGAACAGGTACCTGGGCACGGTTGTGCACATCTTAAATTCCAGCATTTGGGAGACAGGCAGGTGGATCTCTGTGAGTTCAAGGCCGTCTTGGTCTATATAGCAAGAAGTTCCAGGACAGGTAGGGATACACAATGAGATATTGTCTCAAAACAAGCAAACAAATAAACAAACAATAGCAACACAGCAAAATAGAAAATGAGAGTAAGAGACTTGAGCGTAAATCTGCCAGTCAGAGAACTTCCCTCTCTTCAAGTTCAGGCTATTGTAGGGGAGTGCAGCGCTCTTCCTCCACATAGAAAGGCACAGCTGAGTAGGTCTGGTCTACCACATCCCTTTTAAGCCCTGCTTGTGGAAATTCATGCTCTTAGTCATAGGTATCCTGAGGGGATAAAGAAACCCAGGCCAGGAAACTCTAGTTGGAAGAAGTCTGTATTTACAGAATGAATGAAATAAGGAAGTGGCTTCAGGATATAATAATATAATTTAAAAAAGAGACAGAAAAGGAGTCACCAGGGAGACGTCATGTAGCTGTGGAGGAAAGAGGAGACCCAGGCTTCACCAGTAAGCCAATACCATGTGGAGACACACAGATTAATAGAAATGGGTTAATAATTAAGATAGCTAACCAATAAGAAGCCTAAGTCAAAGACCAAACAGTTTATAGTTAATATAAGCCTCTGTGTGTTTATTTGGGACAGAAGGGACAGAAATTTCCATCAGCAAACTGGAAACAATTCTGGAGATGAAAAATTCAATAATTCAAAAAGCTCACCAGAAAGCTTTGCTGACAGACAAGATCATATAGAGGGCAAGAGAGCAAAAGTAGAGGAATGGATTAGTAAGTCACTATTAATGATACTTTTTTAAATGTAAGAATGGAGCACTGAGATCTTTGGACACCATAGAAAAGAATAAATCTATGAATTATGGGCACCCGAGGAGAAGAATTCCATGCCAGAGGCATAGAAAACATTTTCAGTAAAACTGTAAAAGAAAATTTCCAAAATTCTTGGTAACCAACTAGGGAGAAGCCTGTCCAGGTACAAGAGACAAACAAACACTAAGTAGAGAGCAGAGAAAAGAAACCCCACATCATATCACAGTCAAAACACAAGAGAGAATTGATATGGAAGCACAAAGACCCTAGCTAGCAAAAAGCATAACGCTGGGGTGATTGCTATATGAAACTCTACAGTAGAGCAATAAAAAACAACTCAGTACTGGCACAAAAACAGACAAGCAGATCAATGAACTAGAATAGAAGACCCAGATAATAAGTCCACAGAACTACAGATGACATGCTAGTTATGTATAATGCCAAAAATACACACTGGAAAGAAGACAGTGTCTTCAACAAATGGTACCTGGAAAACTGATCACTGCACATAGAAGAATGAAACTAGGTCCTTATCTCCATGTACAAAAATCAACTCCAAATGGTTCAAAGATTTTAATGTAGACACGAGACTGTAGTAGAGGAAATATGGGATACACTTTAAGATATAGGGATAGGTAAGGACTTTCTAATTAGGACTCTAGTTGCTCAGGGAATAAAGCCAGTTATTGACAAATGGGACTTCATGAAAACCCTGGCTTTAATCACTAACATTGCATACACACATGTGGTAGCACATGCCTGTCATCCCAGCACTAGGAAGGTGGAAGTAGGAGGCTTAGGAGTTCAAGATTATTTCGCCTTTCTGTGCCTTGACTTCCCTCTTCCTGCCATGCCAGTTGGTTTGCCCTGTTCCTGTTCCTGGTGATTCTTTCACTGATGGCAGAACCAGTGTTTCCAAGCTTTCATTGTGGACTAGGGATCAGTGGCTTTCCAGGACACTTCCGGTCTTCTAGTACCAGATTTAGACTACTGAGGCACTGGCCTTGTGGACTGAGTAACAAGCAGTTGTCACCAAGAGAGAGACAGCTATCATGGGGCTACTCTGTCTGTCACCAACTTCAAGGAGTAACTTCTGGGCTCTCAGCATCTCAGATGTATTTAGCTATTGTTACTGCTCCTCCCTACCACCACAAGGGTTCTCTATGTAGCCTTGGCTGACCTGGAACTCTTGATATAGAGTAGGTTGGCCTCAGACACAAAGATCTACCTGCCTCTACCTCCTGAGTGCTGGGATTAAAGGTGTGTGCCACTACACCCAGCTTCATTGTTACTATTTTAAAGCTCACTTAACAACTTCACACGCACGCGCGCGCGCGCACACACACACACACACACACACACACACACACACACACACACACACCCTCAAGGATAAGGATTTGGTCCCTCCAAATTCCAAAATTGTCTAAAAGTATATTTTAGAAGGAATAAAAAAGTCAATTGGTTTCGGAATTTGGCCCTTGTATGAGATGCTAGACTACAACTAGAGGTGTCTGCAGTATTGAGAGGTCTGAATGTAGACTTTTAAATTCTTCCAATTCGTTCTTCAAAGTTAAACAAACTGCTGGGAGTTCGAAGTTCTACAAAGATTATTCTTTGTGTCAGCTGTAGTTCTCTTTGTTGCAAAGCAGTAGAAACTGATGCTGGTTGATTTAAGCAAAAAGAAGCAAATTCAAAGAACAGGATTGTCAGGAAGACTTGGGAGAGGCATAGAAATCTATAAAGATCAGTTCCATGATCTGCTCCAGCTGGTGTGAA